ACGCTGGTGTGCATATGCTGTGCGGCATTTACCATTCATCGGGGGAGCTTTCCGCCCACGGGTCACGTTTAAACGACCCACCGTCGTTAACCAGAGGTGGCGCTGAGTTGGGTGACGTGGAAAAAAGATGAGGCGATGTTTTCAACATGGCATTGGCCCCCGAGGATCATCATCGTCATTTTCGTCATTATCGTCAGTACCGTCGTTCTCGTTTTCATTGTCGTATCATCGTCGTTCTCGTCATTCTTGTCGTCATTTTGATCCTCCCCTCCGCGCAGGTGAGCAGCGACGACAGGGGCAAGGGCAAGGGCAAGGGCAAAAAGGGCAGGGACAAGGGCTCCGAGGACTGCCCCCCGCGCGACCCCGTGGCACGCGCGACGGACACGAGGGGTGGGGGGGGGGAGGACGGATACTCGAGGTTCGAGCATTGAGCATTGAGTCGAGAGAGGGAGGTTCGAGGATCGAGGGGGGCAGAGGATCGAGGGGGGTCGAGGATCGAGGGTGGCAGGGGCTTGGGGTGGGTGGGTGGGGGGGGGGGCATCTCCAGGGGCCCCTTGAGACCGTAGGGGGCTCTTCCAAAGGGTAATGGGGGAGGGGACAGGGAAGACGGTGATGGGGGATGGGGAAATGGCGTGTGGAGGAGGAGGAGGACGAGGAGGAAGGAGGAAGGAGGAAGGAGGAAGGAGGCAGGAGGAAGGAGGAAGGAGGAAGGAGGAGGAGGGAGGAAAGGGGGAGGAAGGAAGGAAGGTGGAGGAGGAGGAGGAGAGGAGGAGGAGAGAGAAGGAGGAGGAGGAGGAGGAGGAGGAGGAGGAAGAGCGGGATGAGAAGGGAACAGGAGGAGGAGGAGGAGGAGGAGGAGGAGGAGGAGGAGGAGGGGCAGGAGGTTGAGGAGGTTGAGGAGGTTGAGGAAGTTGACGAAGTGGAGGGGGAAGAGCAGGAGGCGGAGGAGGAGGGCGAGGACGAGGAGGGTGTTAGATATTTGCATATACATACACACATCGGCTCATTTTCTGATGTCCCTTGTGCCTGCTGACACCGCGTTTGCCGGATGCGCTTGCACGCTTCTGCGCAGGAGTGAGGAAGGAACGTTGATTTGTTCACGCGTGAAGGTGCTGGCAAACGACGAAGCATCAATTTGTTGCGATGGCATCTGTCCATGAACGAGGAACGGGAAGGGAGCAGGGATGATGGGGGGGGGCTGAAGAGGCGGAAAGGGGGGAAGAGGGGGGAGAAACGGGGAGAAGGTCCAGAGGAAGGAGCGGGCGAATGAGGATGGCCATCGGATGCCACGAACGTGGAGGTCGACGAAGAAGGCAGCGGGTGGAAGGGAGAGAGACAGATAGAGAGAGAGAGAGAGGGATAGAGAGAGAGAGAGAGCACACGGAAGACAGGCGGTCTGGCGTGAACGCAACGAGCGCACGGAGAACGCCGTCTGGACGTTTTTTGGACTCTTTCGGGCCGTCCTGGGGCCCTCTTGGGCCGTCCTGGGGCCTTCTTTAGACGTCTTGGGGAGCTGGGGCCCTCCAGAGGTCTTCTGATGCCATCCAGGGCCCTTTTGGGGGTCTCAAATTGTCTTCTTGGGGGTCTCCCCAAGGCTTTCGTGGGTCTCTCTTGGGAGCGGGGGGCCCTGTTGGGCCACTTTCAAACCCTCGGGCGGGCCTCTTGGGCCGTTTTGGGGCGATATTGGGGGCCCATCGGGCCGTCCTGGACGCTGCGAAGATAAAACACGGATATGCTAAGCATACACATTTTCTTGGGGATGGGGCGATTTTTGCTTGTTCGGGGCTTTCTTAACGGCCTCTTGGGGCGTCTTGGGGCCTCGTGGGCCGTCTTCGAACCATCGAGGTTCCTCTTGGAGCGCTCTTGTGCTGTCTTGGGTCTCTTTTGCGCCTCTCCGATGACCCTCCTGATCGCTTTGAGTCTGTTCGCAAGGCCCGGCAAGGCGCCCTGGGAGGCCTGGAAGGGCCAGCAGACCTTTTCCACGGGCGTCCTGGGGGCCGCCGAGACGTCCGAAAGAGTGTCTGGGGCGTCCCTGGGGGGGTTCCGAATAAGGGGGGGTGGGGTGGGGGGAGGGTGTGTGGGGGCTTCCGGGTAATAAAAATATCGGAACACACACATACATATATGTATGTATATCTGTATCTATATATATCGTTTACAGTGTACGCTCTACACATGCAAACCTATGTTTATGCATACATGCACGCACACACATATGTATGTGTGTGTATGGATATATACATACACATGGAGAGAGGGCGCTCTCGAGTATCTTCAGTGACAACAGTGGGAAGATCCCACAAGGCACCCAGGCGGCCCCAATAGGCCCCCCCCGAAAGAGACACAGAGGTGGCACCACTCTGCGACACTTTTGGGCGAGCCACCCGCCCGGGCTGCTCCCGGGCCCAAGGGGCCCCACCTGGGAGTGCCAGCGTGCCGCTGGCCCCTCCCCCTCGGAGGGCCCGGGCCGGGGTGGTGCAGTGCCGCTGGAGGCCTCCGATGCGGCAGCCGCAGACCTGGCCCCACCGGTGGGGCACACCCTGCCGCCTGGGCCCGCCCAGGCGGGCCGAGAGAGGCCTCACTGGCGCAACCACGGGCATCTGGCGCGTGGGTGCCGCCCTTTCGGGCGGCGGCTCCTCCTCCTCCTCCTCCTCGTCCTCGTCCTCCTCCTCCTCCTCCTCCTCCTCCTCCTCCTCCTTCTCTTCCTCCTCCTTGCCCGCCTACCGTGGTCTGCCCGACGCGCAGGCGGGCCCCTTGCCGCCTTTCTGCGCCCAGCCGCCGCTGCCGCCACCATCGACTACTAACCCCCTTGAGGCCGCTCGATCATTCTCCTCCTCGTCCTCGTCCTCGTCCTCGTCCTCCTTCTCCTCCTCGTACTCCTCCTCCTCCTCCTCCTCCTCCTCCTCCTCCTCTCCTCCTCCTCCTCCTCCTCCTCCCTCCTCCTCCTCTCGGGGCGCTCCCCTCTTCCCGGCACCCCACCCAGGCCGACTTCCGACGTGACGCCGTTTTTTTTTTTTTTTTTTTTTTTTTTTTTTTCATTCAAGCGGAGCCCAGGGGATCTAGACCCCCTCCCAGGGAATGGCTCTTCATTCTGAGCCGCTTGGAGGCCGAGAGCGGCCCCGTGGAGCTGCCCGCCGTGATCTCGATTCACGGCGCGAGCAGGTCCCCAGACATCTGGCGTCTCGAAGAAATCGAGACGGAGGCTGTTTATAGTTTTCGGCCTCTCGGGGCCCGTACCAGGCCTCGGTGCCGTCAAGAAATGGCTCTGGATGAAACACGGGTCCCAGGGAAGTGGTCGAAAGGTCTGGGGCCCGCGCCGTGAACAAAATCGATACGCCGGATGTCTGGGGCTCTGTGCGATGCGAGAGACATTCTGAGGCCCCGCCTTGGCGAGGCGGCGCGTGTGCGCGTGGGGCGAAGTCTTTCATGTGCTGGGCGCTGTCAGCACCGCAGGTCAGGCACCAGTGACGTATGTTTGCCAGGCCGGAAAGTTAAAGACATGAGTGGGGTGGGCCTCTCGGCTTCGAGAACGGAGGAGCATGAGGAGGACGAGGAGGAGAATTGGCAAGCCCTTCTAGCCCTGCTCCACGCGCCAGCAATATGATCCCAGTAGGATGGCTCAGGAACAACTCTGGAGGGGAAGGGTGGGAATGAGTCAGATGCAGGAGGACAGGTGGGGGCGACCCCCCTCCGCAACTGAAGGGAGGGCGAGGGGTCCGACACGGTGAAGACGCGCATCAACAAGCCGGATGCGTTTTGCCAGTGTACCTGGGACTTCTCGGGTTCAAGCCAACTTTCAATGTGCCTTGGGCCCCCGTGCCCAGAATCCATCGGGATCCTTGGTAAAGACAGCAAGCAAATAGTTCCATCGACACCACTGGTTTTCACTGGCCGCCCTGCTCCCCCCCCTGTGGCCGAAGGTCTGCTGCAGTCCTTTTGGCTCAGGCCGCTCTTGCCCAAGGCGCTCCAGCTGGTGCAGGTCGGGGCGGACGTGCGAGACCTGCTACATCTTCTTCGGCGCTGGGGGCCCAGGCCAGGGCCCACCCCCTCCGTAAGGTACTGCCTCCGATGTGTGGGTCGCCCCCAACCTGCAGATGACCTGCCCCCCGACCCAGACCTGCGACGTGACGCCGCGCTTTTTCATCAAAGCGGAACCCCAGGGGGTCTAGACCCCTTCCCTGAGAGTCGTTTTCCATTCCGAGACCTTAGAGGCCGAGAGCCGCCCCATCGAATTGCCCGCCATGATGTCGATTCATAGCGCGAGCAGGTCCCCAAACATCCGGCGTCTCGATTTCATTCTGAGTCTTTTTGGACGATTCCGAAGTTTGGTTCAGACCCCAGTAATCCGAATATTGAAAACCTCCGTCTCGATTTCTTCGAAACGCCAGATGTTTGGGTCTGGGTCTGCGTATCCCCTGGCGATCACGGCCGCGACGGGGTGTGTGTGATGATGGGGCTGGTCACAGCACAATTTGAGCCGGCGCCGCTGGGGAATATTCACGAATGACTACTTCCCGCTCGGCGCCGACGCGAATCGTGACGCGACCATGGGACAGTGGGGGGCGTGAGCTGGAGGCTGCTGGCGGGGGCGGGGCCCGCCGCGCGCGCCATCTCGCGCACCCGCATCCCCAGACCCCCGACGCCATTATTTTTTCATCACGTCAACCCCTGGAGGTCTCGACCCATTCCCCCGGACTGTTTTTCATCCCGAGCCGTTTTTCGGCGGTCCCGAGGGCGGGTAAGGGCCCCCAGAGGTGGAAAAGAACCAAAAGCCTCCCGTCATGGTTTTTCCATTGCCCGAGGGGGTCTGGGTCCGAAGCGGGTTCCTGCCAGGGGCATGGCGCCGTCCGCCGTGCGCCCCGCGGCCACCGCCTCCGCCCGCCGCCCGGCCAGCGCGGGGGCCGCGGCCGTGCGCCGCACGGCCACGGCCCCCGCCGGCCTTCGCGGCGCCGCGGCGCCGCGGCGCCCCGCGGCGGCGCCCCCGCGGCGGCGCCCCGCAGCGGCGCCTCGGCGGCGAGGGCCCCGAGTCGGGCCTGCCCAGCGTGGGGCCGCGGCGCGGCGGCGGCGGCGGCGCGGCGGCGGGCGCCGTGGGCAGCAGAGCCTGGGCCGCGGCCCCGGGCGGGGTGGGCCGCGAGGCCCCGCCGTGCTCGGACGAGCTCGCGTCCCCAGCGTGGGGCCGCGGCGCGGCGGCGGCGGCGGCGCGGCGGCGGGCGCCGTGGGCAGCAGAGCCTGGGCCGCGGCCCCGGGCGGGGTGGGCCGCGAGGCCCCGCCGTGCTCGGACGAGCTCGCGTCCCCAGACATGATCGCGCCGTAGAGAGCTCCGGGCGGCAGGTCTTTCGCTATTTTCGGCCTCTGGGGGCCCTCGCCGGTCCCAGGGACCCTCAAACAACGGCTCCGGATGAAGAGCTGGTCCTTGGGAAAGGGTGTGGCCTTCCGGGGGCGCCTGGCAGAAATCAGGACGTCGCATGTCTGGGTCGGAGAAGCGTAGGACTCGAGTACGCAGGAGCTCGGGCTCGCCTCCGCTTCTGGACGAGCCCGCCCCAGATTTGGCTGTGGGGTGTGCAGCGGGGGCTCGCGTCAAAGTTTAGTGAGAGAGAAAGAGAGAGAGAGAGAGAGAGAGAGTGGGTCTCGTCATTTCCCTGTTGGCCCCGTCGGGCCAACCCGGGTCCCCTGAACCCGAGTCTTATCTCTTCCCGATCAGCGATGCACGGGTGCTGCGCGGGGTGCTTCGTCTGTCTTTGTCGTGCCTTTGTCCTGCCCGCACGGGAGCCATCGTCGGGCGGGGCAAGGTTCGAGGATGAATCCGTTCCAGAGCGTTCGGGAACGCTCTCGGAGCGTTCTGGAACGCTCTGCGAGAGCTGCGGCGCCCGAGAGATCCTCCAGAGCTGCCAGGTCTCGGGGTTTCTTGATTTGCCCTCACCCGATTTTACCTTCGTCCTGGCTTCGTCTTGCGTGCCTTGGGCCAAGCCCCTGTACAGGGCTCATCTTGACTCCTCCGACTCGACGGCATTCGGTTCGAGGCCGATTCGGCTTTCGACTCCGATTCGCTTCGATCTCGGGTGCCGCTTCGGATCTCGGACTGGCAGAAAGGAGGTCCTGCTGGCCTGCCGATTTTCGCCGACTCTACTTCTCCCGACTCGGCAGGCAGGCCCTGCAGTGACGAGCGAAGAACGATCTCCCGTACCCATCGGACGGGTCGGAGGGAGGAGGACTGGCTGCGGGTGTACGGGGGCGGGTTCTCGGGCCCCCGGGAGGCTCCCGTCCGCGCAGGGACCCCACGGCCCCCTTCGTCCCTCCCACGGGTATGGGTGTTTGTTGTTCGCTCCCCGTGCCGTGCCAGGCCCCGAGATATCCGGGCGCTGCAACCTTTTCACAACGGCGTTCTCGCCAGGGTCCCAGACTCCATCGGGTCATGCCCAAACTCGCGGCGGGAGGTCTGCGGCAATTTGCGGCCTCGGGGGGGCCCTCGCCTGGCCCTGGGACCGTCGGACCACGACCCGGTATGACAAACCGGTCTCGGGGAATGGGTCGAGACCTCTGGGGTTCATGTCGTGAAAAATCATTACGTCGGGTGTCCGGGTCTCGGGCCCCGAGACCCTCGTACATGGTGGAAACCTATTCCAAGAAACACCCTGCTTGCCTCCAGGGTGCCCTGGGTTTCTTGGGTCTCGATGGTTTTGCGATGGAAGACGTGACGTTCCCACACCAAAAATCAGTGGGGGCCCTGGGGTCTCAGGGTTGGGTTTCTTGTGGAAGGTTTCTTGTGGAGCTTCCACTGTATTGATCCGGCTTGGATAGCGGTGCAGGAAGATGGTCGAATGTTGCTAGAAATGCCCCTGGCCCAAGGTGCCTCCAGGATGTCCAAGTAGGCCCCCGCGGCCTGCAGGGCACCTCTCGCGAGGCCCAGAAGGCCTCAGGGGCTCCGGAAAGGAACGACAAGCCGGGGGCACCTTGGGCCAGGGGCACCTTTAGCAAACCCCGAGATGGTGGGCGGCGAGCCAGGGAGGGACGTGTGGAGGGGCGGGGCTTCTCAGAGGGCTCGGACGTCCCACGGCCTTCTGAGAAGCTTCCTGGAGCCTCTCCCGAAGACGCAGAAACCTTTCGGAACGCCAGAGGCCTTCCGAGAAGCCCCGGCGCCTTCTGAGAAGGCCTTCTCCCTCTGACTTCCCCCGCTCCCCAGACCCCCGACGTCATGATTTTTTTCATCACGTCGACCCCTGGAGGTCTAGGCCCATTCCCCTGGACCGGTTTCTCATCCTTCGTCGTTGTTTGACGGTCCCCAGGGCCGGTAAAGGGCCCCCAGAGGCCGAAGACAGCAAGAAACCCACCGGCATGATTTTTTCGTTGCCCGAGGGGGTCTGGTTCGCTCGCAGCCGAGATGGGGCCCGAGGCTCCGGCCGTGCTTCTTGGCGCGGCCGCCTCTTCGTGGCGCATGCGCGCGGGTTTCTCGGGGGTGGCACGCGCCCCTGGCCAGGCGCGCCTGGCGGGCTGCGGCGCAGAGTCGCCGCGCCGGAGGAGCGAGGCAGTCGGCAGCACGTCGTGGGAGCCTCGTGGTGCGGTCCTCTCGCAGTCCGAGGCCCCCTCGCGTCGTGGAGAGCTCACGACGGGAGGTTTTTCACCAGGCTCGGCCTCCGGGGGCTCCGTATCCCGGGCCTCGGGGCCGTCAACAGAAGCGACCCAGGAGGAAGAATTGGTCCCGGGGAAGGGGTCCAGACCTCCGGGGGGTCCCGTCATGAAACAATCACGACGTCCGGGGTCTGGGATTTCGCGGTTGGAAGGCATCAGCGTGCGCCAGCGTCTGGTACTCGACGAGAGATCGCCGATCTGGCTCGACTCAGCGGCGCATGAGCGTCGATGGGCGTCGGCGTCAGTGTCCGTTGCAGTCAACTCGCATAGTAAGGATGGGCAACCTTCCTAAGGCCACCCTTGCATCCTTGCCCCCTCCGCCCATCCTTAGCGGCTTTCGCTGGCCAGCCTCGTTCGAACAGCGTTCACGTGGCCCTCCAGGGCCCTTGCATGCTTACCGCGCATTCTCATGACACGGGCTGACTGTAGCGTTAAGTCGGGCATGTCCCTCTACAGGAGACACGTTCCCAAATCGTCAAACAATAGTCCGTGGACGATATATATATATATATATATATATATATATATACGCATATATATATATGCATATATATAGATATATCTCTATATATATATATATATAGATGTATATATATATATATAACTATTTTGTGTTGTTTTACATTTTTTGGGTATGTTCTACACGATTTTCAAGTTTTCCTCCCAAACCCGCCTGTAGGAGGACATGCCTGACCTACCTGTAGCGTCGATGCGCAAGAGCCCGCAAGATGGCACGGGAGGCTCCCACGAGTCGCCACGGGCGAGGCGTTCCTGGCCAGGGCCAACGACTTCATATCTGGCCTCGGCAGCACCGCCGGCGCGGCGCACAAGGAGCCTTGGAGGCGGCCGAGGGGTCTGCACTGCTTGGGCCCCCCCCCGAGAGGAGCGGTCCCCACACCTCTCGGGGAATGAGCAACAATTCGCGACGGGAGGTCTTTTGCTATTCTCCGCCTCTGGGGGCCCTCACAAGTCCTCTGAGGATGGAAAACGCTCCTGGGGAAGGGGTCCAGATTTCTGGGGGTCGACGTCATGAAAAAATAAGTCGGGGGTCTGAGGATGAGGCCCAATCCAGTCAAGATCGGTCCCTGGACCCTTTCCGGGGTCCCCCCCCCCTCCTCGCCCCTCTTCAAGCGAACACTCGCGTGCAAGTGCCTTTCGACTTGCGTGATTTCCGCACGCGCAAGTCGTTCGCGGCTTGCTTCAGGTTCAGGCCCCCCCTTGTCCATACAAGTAAACTGCCAGAGTCTAGAACAAAAACAGGCTCAACGCGGCCAGGAGGTGGGGATGAGGCCAAATCCAGTCAAAATCGGTCCTGCACCCCTTCCGGGGTCCATTTGGTGCAGTTTTTCACGTCGGATCTGCTTTTCTCGGTCCCGGGGCCCGAAGACGGCCCCCGGAGGTAGAAAAGGCAAATTTTCTCCCTGAGCCCAGAACCTCGAACCTGCCCGCTCTTCGTGCTGGCCGAACCATGGCGGCCACCTCAGATCAGGGGCGGCCTAACCCTAGCAGGTCATTCCCTTCCGTGGCGTCCCCCTCGCCGCGCCCCAAGACGTATGCATGCGGTCGGAGGGAAGCCTGGACGTCGAGGATGACGTGACGGAAGGTTCTGGTCATGGTAGGGCTCGGTTCGTAAGAAAAGACATCTCTTTTCGTGGACTCCAGACTTCGTTAAAGAACCAAGAAGCCGGAGACCCCGGGCGACTCTTCTTGGAGCTTCTTTCTTCGTAGGATTCCTGTATATCTGGACCTGGACTGCCGTTTATTCCACGCAGCGCCGCGCCCGATCAGACCCCCAGCCGGCTCCAGAGGGAGCCTGCCCGGCCCGCCGGCGTCGGGCGCCCGATGCTGCTCAACCTGCGCGGCCTGCCGTCCGTGGGGCGGCCGGCGCTGAGCGCGGCGGCCCGCGAGGCGGAGCAGCTCCAGCAGCTGGCCCGGCTGCTCAACCTGCCCGCGGAGATTCGGGGATCCCCAAACCCAGACCACCTCGAGTCATTAGACATGGGGGGCGCAGGGTCTGTCGCCATTTTCGGCCTCTGGCGGCCCTCGCCGGGCCCCGGGACCATCAAGAAACGACTCGGGACGAAAAAGCGGTCCCGGGGAATGGGTCCAGACCTCTGGGGGTCGACGTTGTCAAGAAATCATGACGTCGGGAGTCTGGGAACTCGGCCACGCGCAGATGGGGATGGGGGGGAAGCCTTCTTAGAAGTACCCCTGCTTCTCAGAAGGCGCGGGCCTTGTCTAAAGATGCAGGGCCGGCGTCTTCGAAGAAGCGGCTTTCTTCTACGAAGCCTTCCCCCCTTTCTCTACCCTCTTGTGCGTGGCGGTAACGAACCCAGGCCTCCTCGAGTCGTGACAAAAATCACGACGGGAGGTCTGTTGCTATGCTCGGCCTCTGGGGGTCCTCACCAGGCTCTGGGCTCGTCAGAAACGACTCGGGATGACGGGCCCAGGGCATGGGCCAGGACCTCTGAGGGTCGTCGTTATCCGAGCATTTTCTTTGGGTGTAGGGCAAAGGGTGAAATCTGAAATGCCGTTTCGATTGGTTTTCCAGCCTTGGATCTGCAACAGGTGAATCACAAGACGGATTGATTTTCGAGGTGCAAAGCCCATCTGGATTTCACTCTGAACCCTCCACCCTAATAAACTGCTCAGGTTATGAGCAAGTCATGACGTCGGGGTTCTGGGAACGGTGCGGTGTCCACACCGCGAGTGTACAAGAGTTCGTACCCTCAGATCCCGGCGCTGTTTTTTTTCACAGCGCGCGTTTGCGTCCTGTTGCGCAGAAAGATGGGGTGCAGGGCCCAGGTTGTGAAATCTTGTGATGCTGCAATTTCCTTGCAACGTCAGGTCAGAGGGTATGTCGCATCCCGTCTTGAGCGAGAACACGACAATGTAATGGTACAGGCGGCCTCCTGAGAAGACCACGCCATCTGGGGCCGAGACCACCCTTCCACCTCTGCCGCCTCCTCCTCGCCCTCCCCCAACTCCTCCTCGCTTATCGCCCTCCTCCTCCACTACCCTCCTCCTCGCTGACCACACCGCGTGGGGAGTCAGTGGTGATGCAGGGTCACCGCATGGCTTTGGGACTCGGGCTGCTCTTCGAGGACCTCTCGGGCGACGGGGGCCTCCGAGGCCCCAATACTCTGTGGTGACGGACCGTGCGGTGAGGCCTCTTGGGGTTTCGAGGTCACCGCGCGGTCCGTCACCACGCGGTTCCCCAGACCCTTGACGTCATGATCTCTTCGTAGTAACTACACAGGTCTCGACCCATCCGCCGGAACCGGTTCTTCAACCCGAGTTGTTTTTTGGCGGCTCCGAGGCTTGGTGCGGGCCCCCAGGGGCCGACAGCAGAGGAAAACCCTGCGTCGCGATTCCCTCCTGACTCGCGGGGGTCTGGGCCTGGGGTCCCGCAGGAGCTGATGGCGAACGCGTACGACGCCTTCTCGCGCCACGCCACCGCCCCCGAGGCCACGCCGGGGGCGTCCTGCCGGAGCCTGCTGCAGGAGGGGCGCCTCTCGAGGCAGCAGCTCGGGAGGGTCGTCCACGACCTGCTCGGCGGCGCGTCCGGGGACACCGTCGCCGCGCTTGCAGACGAGGCCTTCAGGTCTAGGCCTCCCAACCCAGGCCCCCTCGAGTCATGATAAAAGCACGACGGGAGTTGTTTCGCCGTTCTCGGCCTCTTGGGGGCCCTTACGGGGCCTCGGGACCGCCAAGCAACGACTCGGGATGAAAAACGGGTCCTGGGGAAAGGCTCGAGACTTCTGGTGGTCGCCGTTGTGAAAAATCATGACGTCGGGGATCTGGGAAATGGGGTCCAAGTAGGTGGGGTCGGAGGATCGCGCCGCATCGCCGATGCATCGGCGATACAGCTCGATGCGGAGCCCGATTTTCTCCATGCCGACGGCGGCGATGCGTCGCCGGAATCGCATCGGCGATGCGGCGCAATTCTACGACCTCATCTACTCGGACCAAATTTGGGAGGCCTCTATCAGGGTTGCCGAGAAGGATGGCAGTAACGAGATCGACTTCGGCCAGTATGCTATCTGGATCAGCAGCCGCAGTTTCTCGGAGCTCCTCAATCTCACTGCCGACCAGATCAGCATGCGCGACTTGGCGCGCAAGCATGGAATGGCTCATTCTCAGGTCGAGCAGTACAAGAAGTATTTTGACAATTTCGATACCGACGGAAGCGGTTCCATAGACCGAGACGAGTTCGAGACCATCCTCAGCAAATGCGCCCGGCTGCCAAAGGGCACAGCCTTGCCGCAGCAGAAGGTGCAGACTCTATGGCGCTTGGCAGACTCTGACGGTAGCCGTGAGCTCGATTTCCAGGAGTTTCTCGTCTTCTACAAGCGGTATTTTGACGGCGATGGTTTCGAGAACATGTACAGATTTCAGCACCAGCTGCGAAGCCTATGAGTTCGGCACTTTGCGCCCACTGGCTCGAACGGGCAGGACGTATTCTGACTCCTCCCGGTCGTCTTATGATCTGATCCATCTGTCTTTCCCCGAAGCGGTGCTTGCACTGGGGGCTTCCCGCTCGCTCACAAGGGCTGCCCTGGCCTGGCGCCAATTTCGGCTGCCCCGACCAGCTCCGTCTGCTCGGCGGCGGGCGAGGGGGGGAAGCGAGAAGGAGAAGGCGCTCTCAGAAGGTTCGGAAGTCCCCCGGCCTTCTGAGAGGTTTTCTAAGCCCTCCCCGAAGACATAGCAAAGCTTCGCAGAAGGCGCGAGGGCTTCTGAGAAGTCCCGCCGCCTTCTGAGAAGGTCTTCTCCTTCTCACTTCCCCCCCTCGCTCGCCGCCGATCTGTCCCGGGCTGGCATCGGTCTCGCGCACCCCCAACAGCCGACTGCCGTGCCCTGGCCGGGCGCTGCCCTGGCTCTCCCCCGACGAGCCCTGGCCCCGCCCGCTTGCCTTGGCCTGGCACCCTGCCGCGGCTTGCCTCGGAGCTCGCCGCCGCCACCAGCCCCACCGGGGCCCTGGCCAGAGCCCTGCCCCGGCCCGGGGCGGCTCTCGCACTGTGCCTGCCCCGACTGGGCCGCTTGCCCCGGGCACCGATCTCGCAGCCTTCCGGCGTCCCTGGCCGCCTCCCCGCCCCAGCTCCGCCCCGATCTCGGCAGCCTTGGCCAGCCTCGACTCGCCCCAGCCAGCCCCTCGCCTGGGCTTGGCGCCACTTTTCGGCCCCTGGATCGCCGCGGCGGCTTTCCCCTCTGGCAGTTCTTCGGCGCCGTCCTCGCTTGCGCCGCGCAGCCCCGCCGGGTCCTGGCTTATCTCCTTGCCTTGGACTGACGCCGATTTCGCCGCCTTGGCTGGCTCCTGACCAGCCTCGGCCAGCCCAGGATGCAGTGGCGGGATCTCGGCTGCCCCTGCCTCAGCCATCAGACTTGGTGTGGCGGGACGCTGGTAGGCTCCGCTGGCCCACCACTCGCCGACCAAGACCGAACAAGAGCACCATGTTTCCCACGGCATCCCGTAGCCTCAAACTCTTCGCTGTCTGAGGTCCACGAGTCGATGCCATACGAGTTTGCCTGGGCTTTCCCATGTTCTATCGCCTCTCACGCGCTGTTGTCTCTGGTGCAGCGAATCTTGACACGGGAGGGGCACACGAGATGCCCTTCAGAAAGCAAGAGCAGTGCCGCGGTTCGAACCCGCGTAAAGCGTCAGCACATGAGCGGCATGACGTCTTACTTGCACGCTAGTAATGCCGTCGCTATCATCAGTTTTTGAATCGGATCATTCTTCGCTGTATTTTTTTTTTTTTTTTTTTTTTTTGGGGGGGGGGGGGGCGTGTTGAGAACCCCTGGTGCAGCCAGTTTCGCACGCATCATCTCGTATGATGTGCTGGGGCCTGACTACGTGCTAACAGTCCGCATACATAACTCTTGGTTGCTTGTCTCTGGCTGCCCGCGGCACATTTTCGTCACCGTACCAACTCAGCATTCTGGGTGTCGACTGTTCGAAGGCTGTAACGTGTGACTCTTCTCGTCTCCTTTCCTTGGGGGGCTCTCATGGGCCTCACCTAGGCCGTTTTTGGGCTGTCTTGCCTGTGGAGCCCGCCGACTTGGGGTCTTCTTGGACTGTTTTGAGGCCCTCTTAGGTGTCTTGGTGCTGTTTCTGGCCGTCTTGGGCACCTCTTGGCCGTCTGGGGAGTCTCTTGGGTTCTGAGTTGGGGTTCTGCTGGAGCCCTTTCGAGACCCTTTCGGGCTGTCCTGGGCGTCTCTTGATCCGACTTGAATCAGGCGAGTTTCTGTAGGGTTGGTTTGTGCGATTCTGGTACTCATAGGGGATCCTCCTGGCCTTTTCTATCGTGTCTGGGGAGCTTCTGGGTGCCTCTTGAGGCCACGTTCCTCCATCTTGTCGGCCTTGGTGGCCCTCCTTGACTCTCCTGGACGCCATGGAGAGCACCGCGGACGCGCCGAACCGCCTAGACACTTGGCATTCTATGACGCCTCAACGCGCCAGGGGGCACGGTGGCGGATTTTTGCACATGCTAAGTCAGTGTTGCGAGATTCCTGGCGGCAGGGGGACGAGGAAGACGAGGTGGAGAATGAGGAAGTGGAAGATGATGATGATGAGGAGGAGGAGGATGAGGACGATGACGATGATGATGATGATGATGATGATGATGATGATGATGATGATGATGATGATGAGGAGGAGGAGGAGGAGGAGGATGATGAGGAACCTCGCTCTCAGACGCCGCCTAAGGATCGACGAATCCATCAAGATATCTTCAAGCGGCGCGAGTACCAGCAATTTATTGAGTCCGTGCTGGCACAGATAGACGATAGTGTTCTCTCTCCACCTCTCCGACTCCTCTTTCACAAAGATCTTATGTTCGAAGCTGCTCGCCACGCTCGTAATCGACTTCTCACTGGTGAACCTCACGATCCTCTCTCTCGTTATGTAGCGTGCCGCACTATCGCCAGAGCAGTTTGGAACCAGGACATGGTGCTGGCCAGGCGCATTGTATTGTCGCACCCCTTCGGCCGCAAGTTTATCAGCCTAGATGTTATGCAGCAGAGCGTGAGCATCACTGACCCGATCAGGTTTCACGCTGAGGCGAACGAGGCCAACTTGGCAATGTTCCACTCGGCACAAGCAGATGCCAGACAGCGACTTCAAGGTGATCCTCCGACCCTCGAGCGGGCCAAATTGGCCAAACGCATCACAAGCCTTCAGATTCGGGCTCGTCTTTGGTCTCCTTTCGATAGAAAACTCCCGCTGCAGGGCCTCAGGACGGCCCAGGACACGGTCATCTCGAAGCCGAACGAGATTTTGTCAGGTCTGGCTCAGCATTGGGGTCCAGTTTTTGCGAAGTCGAAGATCGACAAGCCTGCCGCCTTCCAGTGCGCCCAGAGATTCCAGCCAAGCATCGATCTTTCAGGGCTGCCGCCACCTTCGGAAGCTAGTATTGTTCGTTTCCTGGACAGAGTTTCGCCGAGCGCGCCTGGACCAGATGGCCTGCCTTACTGGGCCTGGAAATTTCACCCCGAGGGCCCGAAGGTTTTGTGCAGTACGTTGGACTGGAACCTGGCTGGCAACCCTCCCCTCTTCGGTTTCAACCAGATGCTTGGCGCTTTCTTGGTCAAGGGCTCTGAGCCCGAGGATAACGACAACGTGATCCGAGATGCCAGTGGAACCCGCCCCCCTGGGACTAAAGAACACTGGCTGCAAGATCTTAACCTCGGTGGTCATACAGCCTCTGACGCGGGCTCTCCCAGGATCCGTACATCAGGCCCAGAGGGGCTTCGTGCCCAAGCGAAATTTCGGGGACAACATAATAGAGCTCGGCACCGAGGCACGGATCACTTCGATGATGCCAGATTGCACTTCCAGGCTCCCTGCTTTTCTCTCTTTCGACAACGGCCAGGCCTTCCCATCCATCTCCCAGCGCTGGATCTTCCGCATCCTGAAATCGCTCAACCTCCCCCAGCCCCTCTTCGAGTTTCTGGAGTTTATTTACACGCAGGTCGCGTGCTACGGCCAGCTCGGGCAGTGCATGATATTCCTTTACCTCGTCGGGTCGGGGATTGTCCAAGGGTGTCCTGCGAGCGGGACCTTATATGCGGTGGCGTCTCATCCTTTCGTCGAGCACTTCGAAACCCTCCTCGAGAAGAAGCAGTTGGGCCTTGTGAGGGCCTGCGCGGACGATAAAGGCAGTGTGATTCGAGATCTGACCGCCCTCAGAAAATTATATGCGGTTTTTCGGGCTTCGAAACGGGTGGCCAACCTAACCCTCAAACTGAGTAAATGTAAACTAGTGCCATTAAGCGGACCCTTCTCGGATGCAGTCGCTTGGACTTATAAGAATTGGATCAATCAGCACTCGCCCGAGTGGTCTGATATATGCATAGTACCCAAGCTGCTCTACTTAGGAGTCTTTCTTGGTCCTGCTGCGCCCCCTTCGCCCTGGGATGCACCCGCGACCAAATGGGCGAAACGCTCGTTCAGCATAGCCCAGTCAGGAGCGCCCGCAGCTATTGCCACCACGTTGTACGACTCGCGTGCTCTCTCCTGTTTGGGGTGCATCGCTCAATTCTGTCGGATTCCCAAGGCAGTGCTTCCGAAAGAGCATGCTATTTTCGCTTCGATTTTAAAGATGCCGCACTGCTCGCTGTCTCGCCAGGCGTTCTTCTCCCTCGAAAGCTGGGGCGGCCCTCGCCTCAGAAGTGCTCTAGTGCTCAACCTGGCGACGCTCATTCGAGCGTCAATTAGCACGTTCTCTGTTTGGTGGTCTTGCGTTGCTCGTCTCTCGGAGGCGGGGCCAGAGCTTTCCCTTGAAGATATAAGTAGAGGCCGCCGCTGCCCAGAATTCTGGACAGATCCCCCGATCTGCGACACCTTGCATGCAGCGTCGACAGGTTTCAGCAACGATCCGCATTTTGCGAAGGCTGGCCGCCGTGCTTTACAGTGTGCACTGGAGGCCCAGCGTGAGGGCAAGAAGATCCAGCGCGCCGCTGCCGAGAGCCTCAAGTCTTCCCTCTTTCCCCCCTCGCTCGCTCCGACGTTCCGAGCCCGTCTCGCCCACCTCCCCCCCAATGTTCCGACAAGGCAGTTGGGCGCGATCTGTTGGCCGCAAGTCAAGACTGTAGTATTGTCTCTTCCTCCTGCTTGGAGGCAAGCTGTGCTGAAAACACTCGCTGGAGCCTGGACTACTCAATCGCGATTCCAGCAGTGTCAGAGATGTATGTTCGGGTGTGCAGCTGGTTTAGACTCCCAGGGCCACTACATTGTCTGTCCTCGGTTTTGGGGGTTATTGCAGGAGTTTCACGGCCACCCGTTTCCAGAATGCCCCATTCACCGATTAGGCCCCCGTCGCCCCACAGTTGAATCCTTGAAGATAATTGTCTCAGTTTTTTTTTTTTTTTTTTTTTTTTTTTTTTTTTTTTTTTTTTTTTATATATATATATATATTTTT